GACAACGATAGCTTATTCCCTTGGAAACGACGTCATCCAAAAGGTACAGTATCTACACCAGACCCTACACCTCAAAATTCCACACATGCAGACCATACATCTGAAGGCTTTGATGAGTACTTTTGGTACGACAGCTAACGATAGTTTCTCAACTATATTCAATGAATTGACTTTATTATACACAAAAGAACCAACTGACAGACTTGCACAAATCAATATATAGTGTAACATAAGAATATTCTAGAATCATAGTGAATGTGCATGCATGGAACAGTCTAGAATGTGCTGCATAGTGCTTGTATGATACAGAACATGTAAGTGTCAGACTAATTAAGATAACAAATTAAACATTAACAACTACATGTACATACATTACGATTGCACTAATTACATTTAAGTAGTTTCAGTGTATATCTTCCACAGGCTTTACACCCGAAGGCTCTACACCTAAAGACCCAAAAACTGAAGGCTCTACATCTGAAGACCCAAAAACTGAAGGCTCTACACCTGAAGGCTCTACGCCTAAAGACCCAAAAACTGAAGGCTCTACACTTGAAGACCCAAAAACTGAAGGCTCTACATCTGAAAGCTCTACAACTCAAGGCTCTACAGCTGAAGGCTCTATGCCTAAAGATACTACAAAAACAGATCCTAAACTAAAGCATCCCTATGGTAGGTAACTAAAATAAAACAATGCAATATTAATTTTAGTAATTTCTAGTTGTTCATGCAGCAGTGAATGCTGTCCTTAACAAAACTAGGGAGAGCATTAAAGGATGCACAATATATGTAACACATTTTCCTGAAAATGACTGTGCTCATGCAATCATAGAAGCTGAAATAAGAGAAGTTGTTTATCTTAAATGGAATAGTAGTAATAGAGAAAAAGATTATGACAGAATTAAGGAATTGTTGGATAATAATTCTGTTGAATTAAGGTAAAAAATTATGTAATGATTACTGATCAAATGAAGTAGGGAAATAATGCGTGAAAAGATAGAAGAGGAGAATGATCTCAAAGTTGTAACAGAACTAGAACATAGAATAGCTAACAAAAGTGATGTTGATGCTGACAAAGCAGCAAGGACAATGGCAATATCATGGGAACAGTTCTTCATGGGGATTGCAGAACTATCAAAGACAAGACCAGGAGAAGACAAGAATTCTAAATGCATAGTAAAAATACCAGAGAGAATCAATATTCCCATTTGATTACCATAGGATAGGATCATGTATATTAAATTCTTAAAAAGCTATAAATGCAAATTACAGATTGATTGATATTAAATGTAACTGCATGTAAAAGTTTACATAATAGTGTAGCTAAAACCCTATGCATGTACCGGTATTTGACTCTCAATATATATTATGTATAGGTAGGAGCATGCATAGTGTCACCAAGCAAACAAGTAATGGCAGTTGGATACAGTGGATACCCTGAAGATATGGAGAAGATTGGTGATAAAGCTTATCAAGGATACAATGGTATGCAAAATTTGTTTAATTACTTATCATATGTCTAAATTTTAGCATCACATGCTGAATACAAAGCAATTATAAAGACCCCATCAGTTAAAGGATGTACGCTGTATGTTACTAAAGAACCTTGTTGTGTTTGCGCTAAAATGATAGTACAAGCTGGAATAAGCAAAGTGATATATAAGGATGAAGGGAAAGGAGATAAATACGCAGCTTCAAAAATAACACTACCAACATGTTTGAAAATAAGGTTACCTTTAAATACAGATTTACACTGAAATCACTATTATTTGTATAGACAAACACAAGTAGAAACTGTTTGGAACAGGCCCAAGATTCCCAGGCACTCAGAGCCAAGCTGAGTCTCTAACAAAACTGGCAGCATTCTAAAGGAAGGAGGGGGCTCAAAAAACAGCCTCCATTTTTAGTATTTTATTTAAAAAACATTGTTAGAGGTATCTTCTTTTCCTCTCTTGGTCTGTTAGACATTTTAGTTTTTGTATAATTGTAGATGCACGCATGTAGTTTTAGTTTATTAAAGAAACTAACCTGTATTTAACTTTAGCCATATCCAGTAGTTTTCTGCTAGCAATCATATGAACCAGACTGTATGATCAGCTTAGCACACTCATTACAAGGAAACAATGCAACGTATATAGTACATCCTTTAACATCAGCTGAGTTCTTATTAAGGATAGCATTCAATTCAGCATGACACACCTTTATGTGGAGGTACACAGCAAGGAATGTAATTGGTACACTGTCTGTTGAATGAAGGTGTACGCTATAAAGAATGTCCATTAAAAGAGGCTATACTGTAGTATACTATTTTTTGTAGTATGGTATGTGGGCGGATCAAAGGCACTGCCAGTGCTACAACTTCAATAATGTGCTTGGTATGAAAATGTAGCACTGTTGTAATATGTAGTACTGTATAATATGTATGGGCTTTCCTGTTAATTCAAAGTTTTGATAGAGGCAAACCACAACCACAGCTACATACATTATACCTTAGAGTTACTTTTAATTGCGGGTACTAAATTTTGCAATTTTAGCACGAGGAGATTTTGCTGGTATTAAAAATTGCGATTAAGTAATTATTACTAATAGTCATATGGCATCATGATGTCATTATTAATAATTGCGTGTATTAATAATTGCGATGTTAACCCAAACGCAAAATTCGCAATTAATAGTACCCGTATTTAAAAGTAACCTTAAGGTACATGTAATAATAATAATAGTGATAAATGAGATCTGATCCCTTGCGCCTGGCCACTTGTGTAACTTTTGAAATGAAATTTGATACACCCACGCACCACTACAAACCAATTAAAGCACCGTTGATTCGTAGATTACTGGAATTATTGCACTCGGCAAGAGTAGATAATAATTAGAGGAGAGTG